AGATTAATTTTAATCAGAATTTCTGCTTACAGTAACAAATAATGTTTAAGAGATATCAACCTATCAGTAAATTTTAAAAAGATTAATTTTAATCAGAATTTCTGCTTACAGTAACAAATAATGTTTAAGAGATATCAACCTATCAGTAAATTTTAAAAAGATTAATTTTAATCAGAATTTCTGCTTACAGTAACAAATAATGTTTAAGAGATATCAACCTATCAGTCGATTTTAACAATTTTAATATTATAAACAAAAATGTATACTTGATATTGTGGTATTGTAGCTAATCTTGTAGCTTGGGGAATTAATTACAGTTAATGATGCGCAATATTTGCTAAAACTGAGGAATGTCCCGATATTATTTATGATAAACAATAATAAAAACTAAAATAAAAATAAACAATAATAAAAGTTATTTGGATAAGTGAATAAGTGGCAAAATTAGTTAAAATTATTGCATAGCAAATTTTGAGAATAATTTCTGTTTCTGAACAAATAAGAAGGAAGTTTTTATTTACTTAAATACTTTCAACTAATTGACAAAACATTTTAAACTGTAAGTATGTGAAAAATGTGAGAAAAATTTTAAATATGAAAAATATGGAAAAAAGTTTTAAAAGAAAAAAAAAACGCAACAGCAAAATATATAAATAACAAACATTCTTAGAACTATCAAAACTACAACAGGTATTAGTAATTCCTTATCACTCTTTATATTAACAGATTTCCATTCCTGTAATCATCGTATCTTATCAATGATACATATGCTGTCAATGCACTAATTACTACTTACAAGGTTATTAATTAATTAAAATATGCTGCAACAAAAGTAATTAGTTTTATCCTGATAGTAGTAAACAGTAGGTAGTAGTACTACTACCAACTACTAGTAATAGCCAAATACTAGAAGTAAAAATTGTTGATTGAATAAAAGTTGGAGGTATTTTAAACCAATTTAAGAAGTGGCAAAACGTTGAAAATTGAATGAAGTTATTCACATGCTAATGATGTATGCATTATCGATTTCGACTTCAAATTTTACAATCAATACATTTTCACAATAACACATCATCATCCAATACATCTCTATCTTCATATGGGTAACTTTGAATCCTCAATGCAATTATATATGCATGTTCACGTACGTGTATGCATGCATGTATGTATGTATGTATGTATGTATGTGTGTGTATAAATATAAATACCAAATATAAAAGCAGAAAAAAAAAGAAAAAAATCAAATTTGAATTGATAAGTGAAATATTAGTACTATGTTTTCGTAAAAATAACATTACTAGGATGCATGTAATATAAATTTTGTTGTAAAAAATGAGCCATGTTTAATGATTATCAGTCAGATAAATATGTCTTTTATAACACATAGCATTTGTATTAAATTGTAAAATAATAATAATTATATTAATCTATAATTAAATAATAATAAATAATGTTATTGGCATTGCAATACTTACATATATATGCAGTTTTTTTTTTCACATTCTTATAAAATTTTTTGAAATTTGATACTTTTATGATTTAATGCCAATTTTTTTTAGCTGAAAGATTTTTGTTTAAAATAGAAATTTCATCTATGATTCGATCTTATTTATAAAAATATTAGCCAGTAACAAAAGCAATAACGTTTGTAGAAGCGATAATAACAAAAAGTCATTCATAGTTCTTTTTTTTCCTTTTTTAACCAAAAAATTGCCAAAATTTTGATCAAATAATAAGAAGGATGCGAGATGAAATGGATTTTTCTATTATTATCTCCACATTATTATCATAATTATCATCATTATCCGCATTATGATTAAAATCATCATTACAATTATTACTTGCATTTCTTTCATCATTATCTAAATCGCCCACTTCAAATTACAGTTTTAGTAATTATCAACATTGCTCTATTAGAAGCTATCATAAATAATCAATTCATTTCAACATTTACATATAAGTTTCCTAATTTCATATATATTTCCCATCTGAGAAACAATGAAAGATCAAAATATAATAATGGATAGGAAAATTATACTCAGTATGGGAAGATAATCACCATCATTCTGTTGCGACTTTTATAAATTTTAGCTAAAGTATCATTTGAAAATAAGTATTTGATGAAATGAGAAAAGATACATTGCGCAATTTTTGTGTCAACAAAAGTTCAAAAAATTAAAAATATAGACTCTACAATCACTTTGTTGATAATAACAAGCTGAGAACTTTCCATCCTTTAATGACAAAAAAAATGTTATTATAATAATGTAGCACATGTTAAATTATTTCTAATAAGAAAATTTGCTTCCGAAAAAAAAAAATCCGCGCTTAATTAATTACACAATAACCGAAGAATCGAAATCAAGTAAGACACGCTAAAAATAGATAACACAACAATAAAGCATATTTAATCTAAAGTCTACCAACGGCAAAATATTACGTCATTTATTTGATAATATTTCTTTCTTAAAACAATTAAATTTTAGGAATGAAATTACTGACAAAGTTATAAGTATATAAGGATTGTATAACGGAAGAACTAAAGACACTCGAAATTTGCCTTATGTCAACAAACAGATACACTAGCTTGGTAAACATCCAAACAACAAATGTCATCATAGTGTCATTTACGACTTCTTTAAGCGTTAAGAAAATACTTCTGTGACTAAAAAAAGTTGTGATGATCAATAAAATAATTCATGAAAATTCAAAGATATTTAAAAGATGGTTGAAATATAACATCCCTTTTTTTCCATGAGAGTTAATAAGGTATTTGAAAAGTTTAAAATATTTTTATTTACAAGCTTTATGGTTATTTAACTTGCAAATAATACATCATTTTCAAAACTCCTAAACAAACATAACTACAAGGTAAATAATACAACACAAGTAATAATGAGGAAAAAATAATACTTAGCTATTTCATTTCGATTCGATTAATTAGATTTAGAAAAAGGAAAATGAAATTTTTGAGGAAGTTTTTTTTTCCTTTTTTAATTATTATAAAAAACGATAGTATATCTGCCCCTGAAGGTTTGAATTTAGGACGATTTTCATCATACGAAATTTGAATGCATTAAAACATTTTCCAAAAATCTGTATGATAAAAACAGTTTCCCAATGAAAAGAAAAAAAAGGGAGAAAAAATAGAAAATAATTTTTCTCTTGTAAATACGAATCGAAAAGCTATTTTTATCCTAATGTATACAATTTTTATAATTCGATTAAAGATATAATAATGCAATTTTTTCCTTTCTTTTTCTTTTTTTTTTTCGAAGACACAATAAAAAAAGAAAAACAAAGAGAATTTGACTGCAATTAGCATAAATCCTAATTTTATTACCAAGAAAAATATAATAATTTTTTCATCTTAACTTTCTTTTTGTTTAAGCATTCATTCTCGTCATCGTCATGGCTAGGGTTTAGAACGAAAATTTATAAAAGACTATACCTACTGTTGCTGCAAGCGTGCCGATGGTAAGAAGACCAATGCGGAATAAACAAGTTCGGGTGCAAAATGCACAGTGGAAGGTCTTCTTAGGCGGTATTGATAAAGTACGGTTTTTTCTGCATTGTTACTCGTCCTTTAGACTAATTCTGCGTGCGTTCTCGAAGGAAGCAGCAACATTATGAGTGATGTGTCTCCATGTCCCCCGATTCGAGGCCAGAGTCGGCCATTAATGGTAGCTAATATGGCCAAAATTAAGGTATTGTTTCAGGGCCTCCT